CTCTCTCTCTCTCTCTCTCTCTCTCGCTGCAGCTTTTCTTCTCACCGTTACTTCCACTGTGGGTCAACTCTGAACTCTGGCATCATCTGTTTGTGCTTAAAGTTTGCAGCATGTGCACTGACTTTCCTGTTCCTTTTTCACCCTTAAGGTGTGGTCACATTAGCGAAATTTCATCAAAATTGCAGTTGTCAATACTGTAGCGCATAGTTAACACAGAAATCAATTTTCAAACCAAGCAGCTTTCTGATGGTTTGATCTGCATGAACAGTTTGAAACCTGTTGGAAAATTTTGCGGGCAAAAAAGTTCAGTTGTCTATTGCCAATAGTGTGATGGATGAAGTCAACATGATGAATCCATGTGACCAACTTAAATCCATTACAAAAACTGCATTAGGAAATTTTCCGCTGTCGCACAAAATTTCTGATTGCGTAGATTCCTATTGAAATTACAGATTTTTTTCCCCTGAAAAATTGCTAAACGGTGTCCACACTTTTACCCTGTACACTCTTTCACTTCTTTTTCTTACCATCTTTGTCTCATTTTTCTCATACTCTTTTGTTCACAGTCCTCCTTTTCCCATTCTTCTCCTTCATATTTTGGTTGTTTTTTTGTTTTGTTTTTTTGCTAATGGCTTCTTTTCCATTGTTCCTTTCCTCATGTGACACGCCCAGATCTCTCTCTCTCACTCCCTGTCTTTCACTGGCCAGGAGCCAGATGTCTGCTCTTCGAATTAACGAAAATAGCAGCTACATTTGGCAAGTTTCTTTGCACTCATACGTGATTTTTAAATACTCTTTCCGAGACTCACATGCACTCAGACAGAGATGCAGACAGTGAAGTCGGTGCCTCGATCCGGGGGGCCAGTACAGAGAGATGGCGGTCTCTTCAGTGTTATGTGTCATTAAGATGCTCATTCCCTACAGGAAGCACCTGGCCATAGAAATATCCTTACATTCTTCTACTTATTCACATTATTCACCGTTATTTTAAGACTACATGAAACTTGTCTCAATCTTACCACACTCTGCACAGCTAGTTAATAGTAGAAGCAAAAAGAAAGTGGTTTGTTTAAAGAAAAAGTGA